CTTGTGGGTAGTGGGGGAAGTGACTGAAAACTGCCAGAGTGTGGAGCAAGCGCCACTGTTCCCTCTCGAACCCCTCCCCCACATACAGTGTCACAACAGACTTGGGTTGCCCTAAGGCCCCACCCCTTACTATGTAACAGGAGTGTTGAGACAAAAAAAAAAAAAAAAAAAAAGGCCCAAATGAAAGAACAGATCAAAGCTCCAGAAAAAAATACAATTAAGGGATGAAGAAATAGCCAACCTATCAAATGCACAGTTCAAAACACTGGTAATCAACAGAAATGGAGATCATATAGAGGGATAGCAACAAGGCAGTGGGAGGAGGAGAGAAGGAGAAAAGGTACAGAGAATAAGTAGCATAGATGGTAGGTAGAAAATAGACAGGGGGAGGGCAAGAACAGTATGGGAAATGTAGAAGCTAAAGAACTTAAGACACATGGACATGAACTAAAGGGGAGATGTGGGGGAGGGGTGTGCAGGGTAGAGGGGAATGAGGGGGGAAATAGGACAACTATAAAATCATAATCAATAAAAATAAAAAATAAAAATTAAAAAAAAAAAAGAAAAAAAGCTCTGGCCAGTGTAGATCAGTGGATTGAGTGTGGGCCTGCGAACCACATGATTGCGGTTTGATTCCCAGTCAGGGCACATGCCTGGGTTGCAGGCCAGTTCCCAGCAGGGGACTCACCAGAGGCAACCATACATTGATACTTCTCTCCTTCTCTCCTTCCCTTCCTCTCTAAAAATAAAATAAATTTAAAAAAAGAAAAAAAGAGAAAAAAAAAACCACTGGTAATCAGGATGCTCACAGAATTGGTTGAATATGGTCACAAATTAGATGAAAAAATGAAGGCTATGCTAAGTAAAATAAAAGAAAATGTACAGGGAACCAACAATGATGGGAAGGAAACTGGGACTCAAATCAACAGTGTGGACCAGAAGAAAGAAAACATTCAACTAGAACAGAATGAAGAAACAAGAATTCAAAAAAATGAGGAGAGGCTTAGGAACCTCTGGACAACTCTAAACGTTCCAACATCCAAATCATAGGGATACCAGAAAGAGATGAGGAAACGCAACAAGTGGAGAACTTATTTGAACAAATAATAAAGGAGAACTTCCCCAATCTGGCAAAGGAAATAGACTTCCAGGAAGTCCATGAAGCTCAGAGAGTCCCAAAGAAGGTGGACCCAAGGAGGAACACACCAAGGGACATCTTAATTGCATTACCCAAGATTACAGATAAGGAGAGAATCTTAGAAGTAGCAAGAGAAAAGGAGACAATTACCTACAAAGGAGTTCCTATCAGACTGTCAGCTGATTTCTCAAGAGACCTTGCAGGCAGCAGGGGCTGGAAGGAAGTATTCCAAGTCATGAAAGGCAAGGACCTACATCCAAGATTGCTCTATCCAGCAAAGCTTTCATTTAGAATGGAAGGGCTGATAAAGTGCTTCCCAGATAAGGTCAAGTTAAAGGAGTTCATCATCACTAAGCTGTTATTATATGAAACATTAAAGGGACTTATTTAAGAAAAGAAGATAAAAAATGTGAACAGCAAAATGGCAACAAACTCAGTTATTAATAACCACACCTAAAATAAAAGCAAAAACAAAGCAAACAACTAGAATACGGACAAATTCACAGAAATGGAGATCATATGGAGGGTTATCAGGAGGGGAGTGGGAGGGGAGAGAAGGGGAAAAGTTACAGGGAATAAATAGCATAAATGATAGGTAGGAAATAGACAGGGGGAGGGTTAAGAATAGTATGGAAAATATAGAAGCCAAAGAACTTATATGTATGACCCATGGACATGAATTGAAGGGGGAAAATGTGGGTGGGAGGGGGTGTGCAGGGTGGAGGGGATTAAAGGGAGGGAAATGGGACAACTGTAATATCATAATCAATAAGATATATTTTAAAAATATAAGTAAAATTTATAAAATTTTTTAAAGCTCCCATTTCTTTTTTTTTTTTAATCTTTAGAGGGGAAGGGAATAAGAGAGAGAGAAACATCAATGAATGTATGGTTGCCTCTTGTGAGTCCCCTGCCAGGAACTGGCCTGCAACCCAGGCATGTGCCCTGACTGGGAATCAAACCATGCTCATGTGGTTTGCAGGCCTGTGCTCAATCCACTGAGCTACACCAGCCAGGGCAATTTTTTAAATTTTAAATAAGTAAAATAAAAAACCACACAAACTAAGCAAAAAACAAGAACAGGAACAGAATCGCAGCTATGGAGATCATTTGGAGGGTTACCAGCTGGGAGGGGAAACGGAGAGAATAGGGGAAATGATGCAGAGATTAAGAAGCATAACTGGTAGGAACAAAATAGACAGGGAGATGTTAAGAATGGTATAGGAAATGGAGAAGCCAAAGAACTTACACACAGAACCCATGGACAGGAACTAAGTGGGAGGACTGCTGGACAGAAGGGGGATACAAGGTAGAGGGGGGCAAAGTGGGAAAAAGTGGGACAACTATAACAGCATCATCAACAAAATACAATTTAAACAAGTAATACTCCACTGTCTTTTTAAAACGTTTATTTTAGAGAGAAACATCAATTTGTTGTTTCAATTATTTATGCATTCATGGGCTGTTTCTTATATGACTAGGGATTTAACCTGCAATTTAGCATTATCAGGATGATGCCCTAACCATCTGAGCAACCGGGCCAGGGTTCCATTATCTTTTTTTTTTTTAAGATGATTTATTTTTAGAGATGGGAAGAAATGGGGAGGGAGAGAAACATCGATATGTGAGAGATACATCAGCCAGTTGCCTCTTGCCCATCCCCAGGAGGGGACTTGGCCCGCAACCCAGGGACAAACCCTGACCAGAAATTGAACCAGCGCCCTTTTGGTTCACAGGCTAGTGCTCAATCCACTGAGCCATACCAGGCAGGGTTGCTCCATTATCTGTTAATTCCAGTGACTCCTGACCATCTGTGTGTTTTCCCTCTCTCATCTACATTCTTTGTCTGTAGTGTTCTGAAATTTCATGACATGCCCTGGAGTGGGTTTATTTTCATCATTGATACCTAGCCTGTGGTGGGCCCTTTCAGTTAAAGTAGTATCTTTCACCTTTGATATTTTCTTGACTTATTTCTTGAAAGATTTATATCATTCTAGTTTTCTTATATTTTTCTTCAGCTGTATTCTTTTTTTTTAAAAAATATTTTATTTTATTATTACTTTTTAGACAAAGGGGAGGGGAGAGAGAGGGAAAGACATATGAATGTGTGGTTGCCTCTCGAGCACCCCCCCACTGGGGACCTGGCCCGCAACCCAGGCATGTGCCCTGACTGGGAATCCAACTGGCAACCCTTTGGTTCCCAGGCTGGCACTCAGTCCACCGAGCCACACCCACCAGGGCTTGTATCAGCTGTATTCTTATATAGAATAATTAGATAATTTCTTTAAAGGGTGGGAGGACTTGTTCTACAAAATACAACTACAGTACTTAAAAGGGTGATACTGGCACAAAGACAAATAGATTAATAAAAGAGAATAGAAAGACCAGCACAGGGATATATATTCCATATGTTATCTGTGTATTTGTAATATTTATACATATAAATGAATATATATTTTTCCAAGTGGAAATAAAATTGTCCCGATTCATACCATTTAGGAATACACATTCCCGGAGGATTTAAACACTTAAAGGTAAAAGGCAAAATCACAAAACTTATAGAAAATAAGAGTACCTTAATCTTGGATTAAGAGAGATTTCTAAAAATATAAAGAATGCTAACTATTAAGGGAAAAGATAAATTTGGCTACAATAAATCAACTTCCATTCACTAAAAGATAACCAAGAGAACAAAAAGGCTAAACCTCCCCTCATTACTATAGCAAGAATTTGCTCTTGGTATATTGCCTTTAGAAAAAAATACCTTCATTTTCATTTTTGTGGGATATCCAGAAGAAACAGAGGTAGATAAATTTGGAAGGTATGCTACTCTATGCCATAGTGCTAAAAACTTTTTAATGAGAAAAAGATCCAATGATGTTTTATAGGGGACGGTTCTATGTAGCATGGGGAATGTAGCCTAGCCTGATTCAGAAAACTGGAGGCAAGTGAGGTCAGCATATAGGACCCATGCCCGCCCACACAGGTTCTCCCATGGGGGAATCAGGCCTGCATTGTACTAGGCTGCTTTGAGGCTTGCTTTTGCTAAAACTCCCTCACCCTGAATTGAGGCAGTAATGTTTACTGCCTTTCACAAAAGAAACTTCCTAAAATCTGAGCTAAATCACCCAAGTATGGAGTGTAACCAGTTCAACCACTTTCCCCTTGATCTGCAACATCTTTCTCTTTTAATTAACAACATCCTTTCCTTTGTTATCTGTAAAAGGTAACAAAAATGAATGAGGACCATCCTCGATGTAATGTACCCAGAAAAGCAATAAAAGCCTGTCCAGAGAGGGGTTCAGGCCCCCCCCTCACTTAGAGAGTGGCTGTGCTCTCTTCTTCCCCCCAGTACTTCTGCAGTCCGTGTGAATTTGTTCAGCAAAGCCACAACGCCCAAACCCCGTGGGCCAGAGTCTGCATCAATGTTTGCACTTAGTTGTGATTATCTAACATATATTTAAAAAAACATTAAAATACACACACACACACACACACAAGCATAGTCAGTAAAGGAAGAAATATTCATTTACATACTCCTTAATTATCTCATGAGCTTTCTCATTGTAGTGACCCCACACGAAGGGAAGCAGTTGTCCCCTACACTTCCAAACACACTTCCTTTTGGGGGAATCTGATGAATCCCTGTCTAAAAATTCTCTTGGAATTATCTATAGTTATTCTATCTCCTCCAAAAGAAAAATTATTTTCTACTGGTACCTGACCCTTACTTATCAAAGCAGGTTTTGGAAGTGGAACAAAAAATTAAGGAATGAGGATCAGGTTTTAGGCCAAGATAATTTAGGAAACCCTAGATGGTGCTAGAAAGTAGAACAGCCTTGACAAAACCAAGACCAAGAAATTAGCATAAATAAAGGTTTTATTGGTGAGTTTGGGTGAGTGACATACTGATACACCAATTCACTGTTCCACACACCCAAGGCCCTGAGGTGGCAGGAGAAGCTAAGCCCAATGATGGAGAGAAAGGGGTAGGAGGTGGGAAGAACCAGAAGGCCTCTGAGGTTTAACAAGGCTACCGGGACCGAAACCATCGGCCTAGGAATAAATCCAGGATGGAAAAGGCGTCATCCAGGGCTGGAGGTGTCGGTGATTCTGGATCTAAGGAAGAAAATGATACACAGAGACATACTAAATGAAAGGAAATGGAAGGAGGCAAAGATGGAAATAATATTAAAAGGTAGAAAAGTAAGGGTTTCCCTTTCCCAAGGAATTAAATGATGGACCATTTTGACTCACACTCTTCACTTACCATCTCTAGGACTGTCGTCTGCTTCTTGACGGATTACTGTGGTCTCTGTGCGGCCCTCACTGTCCACCACAGTCCGGCGCTCCTCTACTGTCTACAAGGAGAAGCCCCCACCACACCCCTAACATCACTAAAGGTGAATTTGCTGGTTTCTTTACAAAGATTCCTCCGTCCAGGGTAACCTGTGGCTACACTTCCCTTTACCCCTCTCTCCCAACTCACCCCATCTGGCCTAGTGATCTTGGTCACAGAGATGCTCTTGAAATAGGATTTGGGCTGGGGCTGCAGAACTGGGCCAAGGCCCTCCTGGGAAACCTGGGAATCTAGATCTAGAAGGGTAGGGAGATGAAATAGTAAATAAAGTGTCTAAGGGAAAGAAGGGAGAGGTATACCGGGAAGAAACCTTAGGGAGGAAGAATAAAGGGCTGGTATCCTCTCCCTCCAGACTCACCCTTGTCCTCTTTGGCTCTAGAATGGGGGGTCACAGTCCACATATCATCAAACTGTAGAAAGAGCCAAGGTAGATGATATGACCCCTTTCAATCTCAAACTTGAGGAGTCACAGAATCTAAATTATTCCCAAGTTCCAAAACCACCTTTCCCCAAAAGAGATAATGTCATTCAAAATAGCTTTATTTACTCATCCCTCCTCCTTCCTAGCTGTTTTATATATCCTTCTACCAAAAGCCTTCCTGAACTTGTAATTTCCTGACCTTTGCCAACAATCCTGCTTTGTCTGAGAATCACATAGACCAAAGAACTTTTTTTTTTTAAAGAGGAAAAGCAGAACTCTCATCCCCCCCCCCCCCCAAAAGAAAATCCTACAAGAAGCTTAGTTTAGGAAACAGATAAATACACCAAGTGGAGGGCCCGGGACTTCAACTCAAGTCTGTTAGATTCCAACCAGGAGTCCACTCCCACAGGCTCTCATTTATTAAGGATTAGATGTACTCACCCTATGCAAAGGTCTCTGGGAGCCCCAGCCTGGTGCTGATTTTGGGGAGTCAGGTCTTGTGTCACTCTCCAAAACTCCTCTAAAGATCCTGGGTTGGTGACTATCTGGATACTTAAGCATTGAGTCCCGGAGCGTCTGTCCTTCCTGCAGTCTCTCACCAGGTGTCTCTGCCTCAGGACCTGGAAGTTCTGCAGAAAGGTGGCAGGTGGGGTTGGTAAAGGATTTGAGATCTTTTAACCCCCCCTTAAAATCATCAGTCCTTTCGCACTTCCCACCTCCCAACTACTTTCTGTGGGATCCTTATTTCACCCACCAACCCAGTAGTAACCATAGGTTCTCCTTCAGGGGGCGAACACACACCAGGAGGGCGGGAGGGCAAGGTCCAGGCCCCCATCTCGCTGAAGATGTTGTTAAAATCCCGTACTATGTCGTCAAAGCCGAAGTGACCGTGGAAACGCATTCCTCCTTCGGGGCTGAAGCCGAAGCCGAAGCCAAATTCCTCAGGGGGCTGTGGACCCTCAAACCTCGAACTCCCACGGCCCCACATGGCTTCTTCCTCTTCTTCCTCATCATCCTCATCTTCATCTCGAGTCATCCCTCCAAAAAAGGGATCTCTGTGGCTGAGGTGGAGGCAGATTGGCCACCAAAATTTCAGCACTCACTAGTTAAACCATAAAATCAACTCATGGGCAGCAAAGTGGAGTAAGAATAGATGTCTGGGAAGGTAAGGTGAGGGTTAGACGACCAGCCATCGGGGTTTTTAGTTTTTAATCAGTCAATCCTCACCTGGCGGATGCCCCCAAACACCTCCCCTTGGGTTTTCTGCAGTGATCCCCCGCCCATCGACTCTCACTCACTGTACTCGACCCCAGAGCCCCATTGTCTTCACTGCCAGGGGCCCTGTTGCATCACCCCAGGCTGGAGAAAGGATTAAGCTGTTTTCCCTCCTCTTAACAACCGCCCTGGTTGCTGTCGCAGTGCTCAATGTTGTGACCTCTATCCTCTGCACAGGAGTTGAGGAAGTGAGGAAAGAGGATGTTTTTCCAAAAATAGTGTGTGACGTCTAGCGCCCCTCAGAAGAACCTCCCCCTTGTCCGACCCGGTCCCATTCTCACCTCCGAGGTCCAGAAAAGCCGAAAAAGCCCCGAAAAAGATCGAAGAGGCTCATTCCGCATTGGGATTAGAACTCCCGAACTCCACCTGAGGCCCATTCACACCTGGGCAGAGCCTGCGCTCCGCTGTGGGAAATTGGGCGAAGGGTCAGCTCACGCTGCCGGAAAGCAAACCTTCGATCCGGAAAGCAAACCTGCGATCCGGAAACCCTGTCGTAAGACTACCGTAAACCGGACGTGGAGGGGGCGGGGCGGACGACACACTCAAATTTAAGTTTTATAGTATGTTTCCAATGCAGGTAGGTGTTATGCTCCGCTCCTCTGGGAGTGGGTGTTTTGAATTTTTATTTTCCAACACTTGCCTCCTAAACTGATTCTTCTCGCCGGCCAACCCACTCCAAAAACGTGTTTGGAGCATTTAACAACGTAGTGCCGGATACGGCCGCCGGGGGGCAGCCCACCTGCACAAATGAACCGGCCTCAGGCCTGCCCTCACCCCTGCCTGCCTCACCACATCCACGAAGGATCAGTCTTCCATCCTGAAGCCACCTCCTCGCCCCTTCCCTCGGTCCTATTTGACCTCAGTTAAGTCTAAGTCGGATGGCCAAAATGTTTTATCAAGCTATTTCTAGTACTAAATTCCCGAGTTGAACAGAAATAAGACACAGGGACACGTGCACTGAACTCCATCTCTTTGGCTACTGAGTTGTTCTTGGAATTCTATGCAGGCATTACAAACAGCAGGATAAAGGCTTTGTGCAAGGCCAAGGGAAATCTAGTAACGCGCTTTGGGAAGGAATAAATTTGGGGCTTTAAGTGCCCTTCTTGCTATCATTCATTGCCTTTCAAAGCCTCTTTCTCTGCACCCCTAACCCCAATCCCAACCCTGGCCTTCCTCTAGATTCTTTTTCAGGGGGTACAGCTATGGGAAACGAAAGCATCCAAGCGCAAGAACTACTGTAGTGTATATTGTATATTGTATATTGTATATGTAGAACTTCAGTTTTGCCAGCATGTTGCCCCTCCTTTCCAATTCACTTGCCTGGACCCAGCTACATTATACTTTTAATTTTACAAAGCCATTTCTTTCAGCTCCTTAATACCCTCTCCCCCTTCTACCCAATGTTCACTATCCCATTCCCTTCATTGCCTAAAATCTGCCATAGATGTAGCAGTTTCTGAAGGAAAGGGGAACCCCTAAGAGGGCACTATACTAAAACAGTAAGGTCAGAGGTATTCTTAAAGGGCAAAGATTTTATTTTATTCCACTGCTTTCGGGGCCTGCTAGAGGAGCCCCAGTTGGTACAGTAATACTTATTCACCAAGCTGGTCATCGACGAGACTGAGGATGTCCTAGACAGAGCAAGAATGGGCAGAGGCTGAAGGTAGAGGTTTTCTTTTTATATATACAAGACACATTAATCCATTAAATTTGAGAACACAGTACAAAAAAAAACACTTCAACTAATTCATCTGACAATGCTGTTCATATTCATGACGCCATTTTTTTGTTGTTTTGTTTCCTAATAATAAAGGAGGAGACACAGGGCTGTTGGGCTGATATATATTTGGGGGCCCCCTCCACACCTCACCCAAACACCACCAGGGTGAAAGGAAGAGAATGAAGGGCAGGGCCCACAGCAAAGTTTCATAATTTTGAATGCAGGGGGGGAGGAGGAAAGGGAGAAAAAAAAAGGAGAAAATACAAATCCTATAATACATACAACAGAGTGGGGATGGTACAGAAATGGACAGACATGAAGCTGAGGCATGGGGTGGACCACTGGCGTGGGGGAGGCAGCGGAACTCCCCCATATTCCTCTCTCTTTGATGCTGTTTCCATAGTTGCCAGGCTGAGAAGCCCTCTCAGAAGATGGGATCATGAAGAGAGGGTCAGGGCCTCAGTTGGCCCCCCAGCTGTAGCTGTTGTAGGCAGACTTGTTGGTCTGGGGCTTCTGCGGGATGGAGCTGGTCTGGCTACGTTGCCCGCTGCCCGTCTGCAGGGGAATGGGAGGATGATGGGGAGGAAAAAGGTGTCTAGTTAGTGGGACAAATTTGTGATATCATAAGGTAGAGATATGGAAATCATCTTGCTCTCCCATCCCCCTTGCTTAGAAATTACTTGTTTCTCAACCATAGAAAATTTTATTTATACAGTTGCTAGAGCACCTCTGACCAAAAAAGCACTTCCAACCTTTAAATAGGGGAAAGATGAAAAGAGGGTAAGATACCTTCAGAGATAAGATAGTGAATCAGTTCTAGTCATTTTCAATTCCACCTTCTCCCCACCCCCACTCCCCTTGCTGCTCTGAGAAAAGGCAACTCTCTAGAGGTCTTGAGAGAATTACGGCCTCTTGGTGCTGAGTGATCACAGGTGACTTCATTTTCATTGATCCCCAGGAAGGCCTCATTTTGGAAAGCTGTCTTTGAAAGGAAAGAAGCCCTTCTTCCAGTTTCCCAGGCATCTGTGGTGGAGAGGTCACTTGTACCACCCCCAAGGCTCCCCACCCCTACCACATATGTCACATCTGTGAACCCATTTCAGGTAAGGTAGGAGAGACAGTCTGAGACCCCAGGCTCCAGATGCTACCAAGAATCTTTTCCATTCCAGTAACCAAGTGTAAAGTAGGGGAAGGGTAGAAAAAAAGAAGGCATCAAGGAGGGGAGGACAAAAGAGGAGTGGGAGGCCAGAGAGCTCAGCAAGGTGTGTGTGTTTGTGTATCCCGATTTGTGATCATACAATCTTTTCTCAAGTTCCCTAAGGCTGTGGAATTGAAATGGGACTGAAAAGGAGTGGGTTCAAGCATATCATTCAGTTTCATTACCTGCTCCTCCTGCTGGCGCTGGCAACAGAGAATCATCTGCAAATATGGTAGCTGAGGCAGAACCAGGATATATGGAAAATAAAGGGACAAACTTTGACAATAGAACTCCACCATTATTAAAAGGGAAAGCTATAATGTGAAGGAAGGGGGAGGGCTGGGTGAGGTAAGAAGGGAGGTGTGACCCAGGATTGATGGGATGAGGACAACCGTGCTACAGGAAGAGGTGGAGGAGAAAGGCACCAAAGGAATTGGGCAAAAAAGGTTTCAATTTGGCCCCTTCTCTGACATCTCCTTTGCCGGCCACTCGTGTTATGTACGCTTGTGTCTGTAATGTGCTGTGTGCCCATGGCTGGCGCTGGGGAGGACTGGGTGGAGGTGGTGGTAAGGAAGGGTAAGAAAAGGAAAAGGGAGGTAGTTTTAAGGGATAGGAAGGAAGAGAAAAGAAAAGGTCAGAGTGAGGGTTATTACCTGGCCATCCTGCTGCAGGTGATGGTGAAGGATCTGTGAGTGCGGCTGCTGATGGGGTGTCAGAATGTGCATAAAGGGAGCAGGTGGATAGGCAGCAGCTGTGGCTGGATTGATGGGACCCCCACTTCCTAGAGCTGAAGGCAAGTTGAAGGAGGCAGCAGGAGTACCGGAATGAAAACCTTGTTTCTCAAAGGACTGCCATCCCGGTGGAGGAAAGAAGAGAGAGTAAAAGGGATCAGCAAATTAATCTTTGGGATTTCAGCCCAAGCTCTCCCACCCTCAAAAAACAGCATAGTGTCATCATAGAAGGAACACTGCACCTGAAGTCAGATTATTCAGGTCTCAGCTCTATGCTTTAACACTGTGTGATCCTGAGTAAATTACTCTCCACGCCTCAGTTTTCTCATATATAAAACAGGGCTGCCTCTGACCTTTCTTTCGGTGGGAAGGACCAAATGAGAGAGGATGCATATGAAAGCACTTTGTAAATTCTACGGTCATATATGAACATAGTGAAATCTGCTGACTACTCTTAGCATCCCCATCTCTGAAATTGTGTAGAAATGAGAACTCCTTGGATATTTCAAAAGAAATAATGCACACTGAAGTATTTTGAGTGTTAAAGGTCTTGGCCATGAAGCACTCCATCATACTCCTAATACTTTGTATATATCAAACTTTTAATTATCATAGTGATGGGGGCAGGAAACAATACAAATCTGAGGATAATTCAAATGCCTCATTTTAGTTACTAAGCTGGGCTTTGCCCTCTGTGTTATAAGTATTAAGAATGGAATGAACTAGTTTTCTTCATTCCACACTCATTCTTTTGGAAAGTTACAAAAAGATCGGGAGTGGGTAAATAAAGGACCAGGACAGTTACACAATGAATCATGACACTAAATAAAGGACCAGAACAGTTACGCAATAAACCACAACACGTTACAATTTTCTAGTCTTCCTATAACATTTCTTGCACCACCCCTCAAGAGGGCTAAATTTAAATTTCCTCAAGAACTGAAGTCTAGAGACCAATCATTATCTAGTAGAATGGGTTTCCTAACATTTTTCTTAGGGTGTTTCTGCTCACTTTTATGAATGTAACTCCACCTTCTCTATGTCTGTCGTTTTCTACTTTAATCCAGAGCCAGATACCTACCTGGGTTTTGGAGTACACAGAACCCGAGATATCTGGCACGCCCGTGTTACTGGAGGTGACTGATACACCTAGGGGAGGAGGAAACAGATAGGAGGATTAGCTCAGCTAGCTGCCTGATCCTTCTCCCTGGGAGGAGGTGACATGTGCCGTCTTTCTAGCTATTGCACTGCAAGGGAATTTTGGTCTGTTTTTCCAGCTTCAGTTCAGTCCTGAGGGATAAGAGCTCATGACACAAAGGCTAGCTAAGGGTTCTCTTCTCCTTTTCAGATGTGTACTGAGTATGTGTGGGTGAGGTTTTGAGGGGCCAAGGGGATATAGCCAAAACTCATGAGCATTTCAAAACACCTCTGTGGCAAAGCCCAACAGGAATGTATTAACTTTTAATATCCACTTCAAATGAATCCACCCAATTCACTCACTCCTCCTCCAGAAGACAGGTAATCTAGATCTTTCTGTTCATGAAGACACTTCTGGGCTCAATATCCATGCTTTCATAGCATAAGGTAAGTACTAGGAACAGTCCATCCAATTCAGCCCCCAAAAGCACTTTCATTCTCAGAGCTTCAGCTCACTTAGTCCAGCTTCTCCAGTCCTGGAGCTTCTAGGCTTTATACTAATATGAGCTGGCACAAATATGAATTTCCATTTATGCATTTTAAGGGAGGGGAGTAAAGGAGGTATATAGGAATAGGCTATCTCCTACAGTCTAGGTGGAACAC